AGTGAAAAGGAAAAAGAGATGGCATGGTAGCAAGGTTTTTAAAACCGGACCGGACCGGCCGGTTGAACCGGTCGGACCGGTACCGGTAATAAAAACGGTTCGATTCACACAAAAAAACCATTTGAGGTCAAAATCGGTCAAAACCGGTCAAAAACAGTTCAAAACCGGTCAAAACCATTTAAAACCGATGAAACCGATGGAACCGATAGAACCAAAAAACCACCGGTTCAATTTCTCAAGCAATTTTCTTTTTAGTTTTTCCAATTTCACCCTCACCATTCTTTTCTTATACCGATTTTAACCCTTAATTTTAATGAAATTACAAAATTACCTATCCCTCTCATCAAATTTCCCTTGTTATTTAAATCGATCGGTTTACTGGTTGAACTGATTGAACCAGTCAAACCAAAAACCGGACCTAAAAACGGTTCAATGACCGGTCCGATTTTAAAAACCTTGCATGGTAGGATAGCACTAATTAGAATTAGGTAAAACACACAAATTTACCGTTAAAATATATTGATAAGGATAAATTTATCATGAATAAAATATAAAAATAAATTTATTTATTTAAATTAAAAATTTTATAAATAAATTTATTTTTATTTTTATTTAAAATAAATTCATCCTATCAATATTTTTTAAAAGCAGATTTAGGTATTCTGCTTATAATTATTTGTGATTGAAAAACTTAAAAGTCTCAGAGTTGTCCTTTTTTCTATTGGGAGTAAGGTTTTGAAAATCAGACCGGATCGGTCGGTTGAACCGGTTACGGTATGAAAACCGGTCGGATTGATGTCTTAAACCGTTTAGGTGGTTGAATCGTTCAAAACCACTCAAAGCGTTCGGACCGGCCAGAACCGGCAACCGGCCGGACCAACTCTTTGGATGAAATTCTCCCAAATTTGCCCCGTTTGGGTTTCGAACAGCAGACCTCATGAGAGGTTTGCAAGCAATTTGCCACTAGAGCGTCCAACTTGTTGTGAAATTTGTTGTAAAGAATATCTTGTAAAGAATATCCTTTAAAGAATATTGCAAGGATTTTAAAGGAAAAATAACCTCCGTTGGATTCGAACACGGAATCACTTAAAGGTTTCAAATAATTTCTGCCCTCTGATCTGAAGCAAGGTTGTTGTATGTGGATGCATTAACATTTATTTATTATAATAATATTATGTAAATTGAATAATTTTAACTCACATAAGACTCAAACCGTAGTTCTCCATACACAAAGTGCGAAGCACTAACCACTTGAGCCAATACTAATTCATTGAAATGGATTACATTATATAACATTTAATATATAAACTCAAAATTCAATCAACTCGGTTTTTTAACCGGTTATATCGATTGAATTGTTAAAACCATGAATAGGAGATCAAAACGGTTTGACCTCCGGTTCGATTTTGAAAACATTGATTGGGAGAAAATAAAGTTGTCCTTGTTTTTTTATAAAGAAAGTTATCCTTTTACTTAAGGTAGAAGGTGCAATTTGGCCCCTCTACGTCCATTGTTGTGGCACATCAGCCCCTCTACCTAAAAGTAGAGCAAATCAGCCCCTCCACTTGACAAAACCCGCAAATCAACCCTTCTGCTGATGATGACCTCATCAAATGTCATCTTTCCGTCCACATCCTTGTTACTCTGCAACCAAGAAATGGCTTGGTGCTGATATGCATTGGGTGGGTGATGTGGTCAATTTAAATTATAAAATTATTAAAGAGTCCTCATCTACTACCTTTTCTTCCATTCATCTTCTCTCTCCTCCTTCACAGTCTCTCTCTTCGTATTGCAGATTTACATTTTTTTTTTCAATAGTTTAAATTAAAATTTTATTCAGATAAATTTAAATGTTAAAAAATTATTTAAAAAACTCTCAAAATATGAAAATATAAAAGTTAAAAAAATTTCAAAATTAAAATAAAAACTTGTGGCTTTGTTGACATCAAGTAATTTGCTCATTAAGT